GTGCCACACAGCATAAAGTATCAGAGGTGGATTATCCTCTTTCAATGCCCCTGGCATTTTTTTTTTTTTTTTTTTTTTGGTAGAAACTCAGCTTTTGGTGCAGCTCAGAGCAAGACAGGACCCAGTAGTGCTGCTTTTTTCCCCTCCTCGCAACTGAATTATAGTTTTTACAGTCAAATAGCTGATTTTTTTTTCCCTTTGTGATTTTTATCATTTAGAATATTCATGGACAGCCCGACATCAGAAAGCACTCTCACTGTGCCCCTCTCCTCTGAGAAGAGCTTGTCCTCTCATACCCATTTCTCCCTGAAAACCTCTTTGTCTCTGAGTCCCTTTACAGCATCGCGCTGTGTCCACATCATCTGTTTGTTTCTCAGTTTACACTACAGCTGCTAATGTGGACGTTTGTGTGCCATCAGCAGAGAAGAGTGCACTATAGAAACCTTATTAAGACTGAGAAAATCATAGCTCTGAGTTTTATTTTAAATTTAAAAAAAATAGATTATAAGCAGTTAACACCATTGTTTCTTACCTTTAATGGCTAACTTTAATTATGAAGGAAAGCTTTCACTCATGAGCAAAAATAAATCAGACTGTTAAGTACACAGTATATGTGGAGTAAATTGTAGTTCACATCCGGGTAAAGATACCACAGAGCTGTCTTCAGGCTTCGTTTTCAGGACTTGTGATTAGAAGTATTTCAGAAGAAGCTCATAAAAGATTCCCAAAGCACAGCTAGGATTGTTGGGACTACAGAGGGTGTCATTATGCACAAAATCTGTGCTCTTAGCTGCATCATTAGCTAGCTGTGAAGTACGCACTGTTGCACAAATGGATACGAGAACAATTGAGGCAGCGTGGAAAAACAATTAAATATGTGGTTTTGAGGTGTTTGACAAAATGCAGTTACAGCCAAATTAACTTCGGCAAGACATTAACTTTCAGAGAGACATACGGTATCTGTGCTGATATGTGCAGTGACATTAAAAGCCCCTTTAAACAGTGCGCTGGCAGTGCTGAGGGGGATTTGATAGACCTGCAGTGTGTGTTGTGGGGCTCTGGCAGGAGACCAACTGGCGACATGGGAACAGCTCTAATGTTAGACTGGGATCAGGTAGCACTCCGGACACGGTGATGAATGGTCATTTCCACTGTACAGCTGGACACTCTCACCACCAGATGTCTGACTCTTACAATTAATTCAGGAGTTAAGTGTAGTGCATCCCGAGCGAGAGGACAGGAGGCAGGTGATGCTGATTTCTGCTGGGCAGTTTGATGAAAGCACAATGTTCACAGGCTTGACATTCAAACTTTGAAAGCAAAATGAGAACTCGGCTTGCTCTCCTTCTGAAGCAGGGGTGTCAGACATAAGGCCCGGGGGCCAGAATTGGCCCATTAAAGACTCCAATCTGGCCCACTGGACAGCTTTACAAAATGTGGAAGAGGGCATACATTTTTTTGACTTTTAACAGTATTTTTTTTGTTTTTACACATTTTGTAGCTTTTCGTGCTACTAAAGACCTCTCTCACGGCCATGCATACTACACCAAAATAAATAAGTAATAGATGACAATTAAATGACAGAAAAGTTTTACTGTCATTACTTTAGTGTCTACTATAGAAATTTCAGTTTTAAAAACAACAACAATCAACAAAAACTGTTTTATAAATATGGGACAATCTGGGTTGTGAGCTACCAGAACCCTCTGTAATTTTACACATTAATCATGTAGAAAAATACTCAGATGTGCCATTTAAATTGTACTACTTTGTCTTATATTAAGCTATCTCAGGGATTAAATGTGCAGTTAAACATGTTTTACATTGTCAGAAAATGCATTTTCACTTGTCTGGCCCACTTAACATCAAGGTTGGCTGTATGTGGCCCTCAATGTTAAATGATTTTGGCATCCCTACTCAAAAGCCCCAAAATTGTCATTTGTGCAAATTGTCCTTCTGGTGCTTTTATATGTTAATAACTTACTGCTGATGGAATGAAGTTTCAGGTTGTATATGCAAACCTTTAAATTTTCCAATTTTTTTTCCACCAAATGACCACAAACGCTTTCTTTTCCTTGAGCCTGCCATTGCCTCTGTAGGTGTTCATTGTTATCTGACCTCTTTCTCTTTCCCTCCTTTTTAGCTACCTGGAGGATGCGGTAATGAATCTGGACCACAGCGACCCCCTGACCAGAGACCACATGTCGTCCGTGCTGGCCCAGGTCAGACCAAAGCTCTTTGCCTTCCTGCAGCAGGACCCCCACAGCCCGCTCAGCAAGAGGGCGCGGCGCCTGATGATGATGCTACAGGGACTCGTCAACCACTAGTTGTCGGTTTAAAGGCTGCTGCCAAAGAGTGGTTTTCCTCTTGATACCGATCATATGTCCACCGTTTTTTTGTTGTTGTTCCCCCCGGTAGTGTTTCAGAGGAGAAAGCACCAAGGACAGCTTCTCCAGTTTCTTGGATCCTGATCAGGATGCGTCTCTCCTTGTTTCATTTCTCCTCCTTCCCCCTTTTCTGCACCAGTGAAGTGTCAAGTCAAGAAATGGACAGTTTTTAGTTTCTCAGTTTTTTGGTTCTTTTTTCTTTTTGTTGTTTTCTTCAAGACAATAATGGTCTGGGGTGAAAGCTTTCTGTTGATTTATGTTCAGAGACTCTTAAGTTCACTGTAGCTACATCCAGACCTTTGTTACAGCTGCTTTATTGACCCGAGAGACCTGGTGGTCGTCTCTTCCATCAAGACTGTCTCAGCCATGACAGCAAGAGAGCGCTGAGATTCTTTCATCCCCCTTAACAACAACTGAAAAAACAAGAATGAGGAAAAAAAACATACAAACAGCCTGACACTGTTTGATTTTACATCATCCAGATGTGCATAAGACTTGAAGAATGTCCAGCCGAGTGGTCCATGTGAGGCCAGACGGGGCTGTTCCTTTTGTTGTGCTGTTTCCTCTAAGCTACCTGCCAGGCATGTTTTGGGATGCTGAACAAGTTTTGATGCAGGGGGCTACTTCTGAGCAACAGAAAGAAAACATGCTTTGCCTCAAAATGTCGCCTTCTATTTTGGCCTTAAGAGCAAACAGCAGGCTTGTACACATTGTTACTTTCTTCCACACAGACCAGCATCCTTCTGCTAAAGCCTGGAATTTGGTAGTCGTAGGATTATCCTCCCTTAGTTCAGTTTTTCTTTGCTTTTTCTTTCTTTTCTTTTTTTCTTTTTGAAGCTAATCCTGGCAACCAAAAGAATATGTACCACCCAAAGCCAATTTTCTTTTTCTTCGTTGGTGGCATATTTCCTATGAGCTGTTTCTTAATAGGTCTCCAACCTATTAAGAAATGGGTCTCCTATTTGTTTGGCCCTTGCCAGACTAGATCTTTGAAGAGAATCAACACTATAAACCTTTTTGATAGACAATAATGCAATTTGCTCATGACTTTTTCACCTGCTTTGGTTTTAGAAATCACTCTAAAGAGGATTTTCTGAAGGATACATTGAGTGTAAGAAATGTTTGCAGAGGTCTTCCAGGCTGTAAAGAATTCCCCTTCAAAACCTGAAATGTTTGGAGCTCAATATTGAAGCCGGCAGCCGTCCACATGTACAGCTCTGTCCACAGACTTCTCCCCATGTTTTTTCTTCCCTTTTTTTATATAAACATTTAGTATTTGTAAGCCATGTACCGGTATACTTGCGTTAAAACTTGTCAAAGTAGCTTAATAATTGGAAAAAAAAGGAACCTTGGTAAACATTAAATGTTACAGATCCTGTTGTTTTACCTGGCAATTGCAAATATTGCTTGTAAACTCAATGTGCAGTGACTTCTCTTAGGCTCTAGGAGGCAGCACTTGGACATCCATCCTGCTTGAAATTTAGGCTTTGAATCCAGAAGTCATTCCTGCTCTTTCAGTATCAATGAAAAGCCTGCCTTTAGATTGTAAGCGCACCATTTGTTCACATTTACACTGAGTTCAAAGTGTATAATATTTTGTGTAGATCCCATTCACACACCTCATTGTTTCATAACGGGGTGGCTGCACTGAATTGCTGATTGTAAAATAAAAGTTCAGTTCAGTTCATTTCAAGTGTTTGTTCAGAATCTGTTGGGTTTGACTAGCAAAGTGCCTTACTGTAATTTACCCGTTTTGGATAACTTGTACACACACACACACACACACACACACACACACACACACACACACACACACCTCTGATCCATCTAAGTTTTACAATCATTTATGTCACTGAAATATGTGGGAAGGCTCAGGCACCACAGCGGAGGAGAAGCTGTATGTTTTCTTTGCAAACATTTGTCCGGAGGCAGGTGATCAGTACGGACATTTGAACTCTCATTTCAGTGTTTGAAGAAGAAAGAATTTTGACTACTTAGCAGTTCACTGGGAGCTCTGCATGAGAAACAGAAGTTCATGTGGATTTTTTTTTCTCTTTCCATTGTGTTCATTTCCCTCTGCTTGGTTAATTATGTTGTATCTTTTACGGTTTGTTTTACCCCAAACATTTTGGAATAAAAAATAAAAAAAAACCGTGTTCAAATTCAGGTGTCTTGGTGTGTCTGTGGGAAGGTCAGGCTACTTCCTATAGCAGATATATAGTGATGGACCTCCAACAAAAGTTAGCAGCAACCATTAAATTACTGTTGGGGGATTTTAAATGAGAATGTTTCAGTTTTTTGTCACTTTAATGTGAAAGTTTAGTAGGAAAAAAAAAAGAAACTGGGATAAAAGACTTCATGGGTTTTGGCTCATAAACCTGTACAAAAACATGTGACCGTTTTCCATGAGTTTTTGCTGTACCGCTAGAACAGGGGTGGGCAACTCCAGGCCTCGAGGGACGGTGTCCTGCAGGTTTTAGATGTGTCCTTGATCCAACACAGCTGATTCAGTAGTTCTCCAGAGGCCTGGCAATGAACTAATCATTTGATTCAGGTGTGTTGACCCAGGGTGAGATCTAAAACCTGCAGGACACCGGCCCTCGAGGCCTTGAGTTGTCCACCTCTGCACTAGAACAAACATCCTTCCCTTACTAGATTGTTCTGTTAAATCACGAGCCTCATGAAGACAAAATTGTGCATTACTTTACAAAGTAAAGAGTTGGAGATCATTAATCATCTCACAGTTCCTCAGCTTCTGAGGATACAACCCCCCTTTGGCTGGGAACCAACCTACAGCTGTCTAATAATAATAATATATCACATCGATTGCTGGGACGTTTTTCAGATTACTGATCACTGGCTTTAATATTGCAGTGACACTTTCAATTTAAAGAACCTTTAAGCAGATAATCTGTCTAAAGAAACACACCAAACCAGGAATTTAAACTTTCTTTCCCTCCTTCACTAATCTTGGCCCTTCACATTTGTCTCCTGGCCTCCTAGAGAGCTCCAGCCCCCTATGTTGGAAACCACTGAAGTAAAGTGTATAGAAAGAAGTTGGTAGTGGTTCCTTGGTCATTTTAAACGCCTTGTGCTGATAATTCAGAGCATCCTTGCACCTCATCGGGGACTCTGCTGCAGACCTTCCTCCTCCTCCCCCTCTTTTACACGGACGCGCCCTCCCCTTCAGCGCAGCGGATGAGCGCGCCGTGGATGCTCGCTGGAGTACAGAGCTGCAACGAGGACGGGAGGAGAACACTTTGACCGGCAGCGGGGGAGCGACATCGGGACACTTCTTTTCTTTGAAAAACTAAAAGATAAAACAAAGGAAAACTTTGGAATTTCCGGTGCAAACTTGAAACTTGTGAGGTCGGAGGACGAACTGTAGGGTCAGCATGACATCTCTGATGAACTCTGCGTGCTTGCTCTTCTTGCCTGTTGCTCTGCTTCTGAGTGAGTACTGAAATTTAAGTGACTATGTCGCAACTTGTGTGCGCGAACAGTGTAAAAAACTTGAGCATTGCATTTGGGAGAATTTTGAGTAATTCGAGAGGGGATTCGAGACTCTGTGCGTAACAGGACGGCACACGTCCTGACTTTTTAGAGCTTTAGATTAATGATCTTAGGTGATGTGGATGTATGTAGATGTTAAGCTGTTAGAGTTCTCTGTATGCCTCGTGTCTGATCTTAAATGAGTGGGTCCCGTAGCCTTAACTCGCTCATCTCGAGCATCCAGCAGAGCATGTGCTGCAGCTGCGGGAGCGATCTGCTCAGAGAGAGCTCGCAGCCGAAAGCTTGGATTAGTGCTGCTTAGTGAGAGTATTTTTCCCACAGCTGGATAAGGGTTCATTACGCAAACTCACATCGTGCAATGAGTGAGGTCTGGGTGCATCTTTCCATTTCTTTCCACCCATTTAGTCCCCTTAGCTCAATCGGGTTACTTGTAAAGTAATGCAACGGTAGATATTTAAGATAAATAATAGTTCCCATGTTGTAAAGTGAGACATGTGCAAAGACTTTTAAGTACATTAATTGGGAAAATATTAATTCAAAGCGGCTATACTAGAATTTGTTAAGGAAATTGCAAAGATTGGTAAAACAGAATTGTCCTTAATGCAACATATGCTATCTTTTATTCAGCATTACTTGTCATGTATATTTAATAAATTACAATCCACAGTTTGTAAAAAGACATATTACAGCTGTTTTCAAACCCTGATTGGGAAAATAGGTGGATTATCCCTTTAAAGGGGGGCAAAAGTGATGTCTTTGAATTAAAGCTCTAAAATGTTTTAATGGACTACAGAAGGTCAGCTTCATCAGCGATTTTTAAAGCTCTTTTATAAATGTCTGGCTTGGACTAAATATAAATGCTGCTTCTCTTTTTCCTCTTTCAGAAAAATAATTAATAGTTAGATTTTTGTTGTGAGAGCAAAATTTCATTCACCTATTCTGAATACACGTTCTGTATATGTGTTTTGTTGTGTGGACCACAGAACTGAGTCGGACCGCTTCCTCTTTTCAGTCCAACAATAAAACGTTTTTAGGAGCTATAATTCAGACACTGTTGATCTAAATATAGCTCTCGATGTGCACACACCTTCTCTTTTTGCAAACTTATGATCATCGTCATCATCTTTATCAGCCTTGATCATCTCACGCTGCTGCTGATGTCAGAGAAAAATAAAGACCAGGAGGCGGATGGGACGAGGTTCCCGTGGGAGTGTAACACAGTGGGGTAAAAAGGACAAAAAAAGTCCCACCGATGGGGATAAATGATAAATGAATCCCATCTGTCCCCTTACTCTGCTCAGTGGAGTCTCTGGAGACTCCATTCAGCCCTGCATACTAGCTTACCTGACCAGGAATTACTTCTATGTTGCTGCTGCTGCTGTCTGTCAAACTGCCTCCGCAGTCACTCAGTGTGTGTCACAGCTCATTCATGTTACTACAAGGGGACAGAATCAGCTCATTATATATTTATATGGTAGGATTTTTTTTATATAGAACTTGCAATTGCATTATCTATGAGCAGAGCTTCCAGGCCCGGCACCTTTGACTCACACTGTCTTACACATGCAACCAATTATGTTGCAAACTATTTTTGAAATATGTTTTTGCATGAACATTACACATATTGTAGCAACCTAACAATCTACAGGGTTTTATCTAACCTGCATGGTATTTTTAGTTTGTTGTGCACCTTTACACAGCCCACGGTGCTGTGTCATCCACCGGTGTAGAAAGTCTTCTCAGTGTCTCCAGGAAGCCTCTGCCGGGAGAGTTTCACAACATTTATACTAATATTTTTCACACGAAATACGGCAAGCTTTGATAGCCAAATGTAGACACAAAAAGGCTTTGACTGGCAGCAACACTGGATTGCAGTGTACTTCAAGCACTGGCACTTTTCTATGTCTGGATCAAGAGATTCTGACGTGTATCTAGAAGCTATGTGATGATAACTGAAATATCTGAAAGCTGTGGATACAAAATAGTACAGAAGTTTCTGAAACAAATACCTGAAATTCTACAAAAGCTTTTATTATCTGCATTAAGTACTGCAATCACATGCCACAATGTGTGCTGAATTATTTTTTTTAAGCCTTGGTCACTGCTTGTGTCCATGTGTTTTCAGTTTAGAGTATCCTCACTCAAATCATGATCTCACTAAGAAATGGAAAAACAGTGTTTAGTTCCATCCCATCTGCTTTAATGACAAATAAAGTGCACAGCAGCTCCATAATATTGCAACAAGTGTGCCCAAACAGCTCGACAAGAGGCAAAAATTACTGTTTTTCTTAATTACATTCAGCCATATGTAGGCAACAAGAAATTTAGTTGCTTTGTAGCTACAGGAAACGGCAAACATCTTTACAACTGTAGAGACAGCCTAACCAGGGTACTGGCTCATAACAAGGTGCTGATAAGATGCTATAATGCCAGTCAGAAAAAAGTGCAGTGATGTAATACCTGATTTAGATCATTGTAATACATAAGAGAAGAAAAAATGTGAGTATGAAGCCACGTTTTTAAAGATATGGACGTATAACAACGATCATTTCATTACACTTCAGTTTTTCTGCTAGGAAACACTGAGTCACAGTAGCATGAGCATGAACGCAATGTTCATGCTCATGCTACTGTGACATGTACAAATCAACTAAACACTGTTACAACTCCTAATGCAAATGGACTTTCATAGACTGTATATTGAAGATGTCTGTAGACAATGCATTCTGTTTAATGCCCAGCAGGGGGCAACCTCTCTAGGAGCAAAAAGAAGTCTGTACAGTTTATCAGGAAATTACAGCTCATTTTGTTCTATGACGTCAACAAACACATTCCTGATGAGTCAGTTACTGGTTTCATGTTTTATTTACTATAATATGATGTTCATATTGTAAATTATAGTCACCAAAAGAATAAAAAAGGAGGATAAAGTGGTATTATTAGTTAGAGTGGGCCCCAACTTATGATAGACAGGTTGCTACAGAATGACCAGTGACCTTGCAGGACACATGTGAAATGCTAAACTGGACTTCACAGTGACTATGTACATCTTTCATATACAGTACATACACCACAAAAATTGCACAAAAATGTCAGATGTAGCAAAAATTATACAAATTAAAACCTTAATATTTTATTTCTTCTTTCAAAAATTGTCAATAAGCACTCCAGTTTAAAAAGAAATAAACTTTCTAGCAAATATTTAATAGTTCTGGCTTTAAAGGGTCAAGTATTCTTCTTCGTAAGTATCCTGGTCCTTCAAGATGTGTTGCAATGAAATACAGGTGTACATTTACTCAGCTTCAAGTCTGAAAAAAGGCTTACCTTTCCTTTTATTTCAGAACACACACAAAACCTGTTCCCTAATTTTTCTTACAGTTTATTTAATGTGCCAGTTAGCGTGTCTTTAGCACACCTACAATTTACTGTTGTGATTGAAAGTGCCAACGAGAAGTTTTGGTAAGAGCGTGAACAGGTAAAACCTCATCTCAAAACAAGTAGAAGGAGTCAGCTTTAATACGATAAACAGCATTGTTAGAATGCACACAGTGTCTTCTGTTTGTCTGCACTCAGAAAGCTTCAAAAGTCAGGACCAGAGAGGGGGAGAGGTTTCCCCTGGGTGCAGAGCTCCTCTCTGCGTCATCAGCGCTCCAATATTCACATTAAAAGCTGTCCATAGGCAAGAGGGAGATTATATTTGGCTTTTAATTGTTCTCCTCTGGAAACACTTCTTAACTCGCTCCCTCACTCTCCAAGTTCCCTCTTGGTGGGTCGACTCGAGCATTTTCTGTTTTTTGTCACTGCAGTACTGACACATGAAGTGGAATATTCCTCATTAAAATACATTTAAAATTATCTTGAAAAATTGCCGGTGCCTGCCATTCGTCCTTCCTTCCTTCATAGCCCCATTTCCTTCATCCTTCTCTTCATTCACTCCTTACTTCTAGCAAACCTCACTTCTCCGTTTCCGCCTTGCATGTCTTCGCAGTCATTTTGATCTCTATGCTGTCCCCCCAATCTCTTCTTTTTTTTTTTTTTTTTAAATTTCAGGCTTGCTCTATCTCTCGTGTCTACCCTTCCTGCTTCTTTAATCACCCTCCCCCCACCCCAACCATTCCTCCATCCTCTCTCTGTCCTTTCGCATTAGGGATTCACCAATATTGATAAATCTGATCCCAAGAATCCTGCGTCACATTTTTCAAATCAAAGCAAAGCCATTTCTAGAATTTTTTTTCAGAAGTTTTAAAATATACATCATGTACCCCACTGTTTGATTTGGTCTCATAAGATCAAAAGCAAAGAAACATCACAGAAACTATTGCTTTCATTTACTTACATTGAGGCCTCTGGAATGGACATATTCAGGGATGTGTGGCTAGCTTGTCCTCTTGTATCTTCTTTCTCATAATTTGAGAAATATGTATGTCAGTCCATTTTTTGGTGTTACTCTACATCCAAAACCATTCATTCCATCCACCTCTCGCTTCCCACATTGACTACTGATGAGTAAATGCAGTGTTAAATCATGTCATTTGTTTCTAACCTTCCCCTTACACTGACTGCTACCAGCTCACCTGGGCATGCTTGTTTGGCTGTCTTTGTGAGGACATTCATGGACATTTCCTTGATTGTTACCCGCAAGTTTAACTATTTTAACTAAAACATAATACTAACTTTAACTAATATCAAGTTTTAACCTTCAAACCACAATTTAAAAAATGTTTTAACTGTTATTTTTCTCAAGAGATGTTTCTATTCACTTTTTCCTTTGCCAGGTTTCTTGTGACAAATGACTTTAGTAACTCACTCATGTTGTTTAAGCATCTCTGGAGAAAGTTGTAACCCAAAATCTTCACAGCACTGAACAGGCAGAATCACTTTATCAGTGTGTGTTGTGTATATATCCTTACATCCTTATAGAAGAACACTGGAAAGTTGTT